TAAACCCAAACAAGGGGGTTTCAACCAGAACAAGGGGGTTTCACCAAAAATAAAAGGGGTTCAACCAAAACAAGAGGTGTCAGTCAATAAAAGGGGGGGTTTCAACCCAAACGAGAGAGCTTCCCCAAAAATAAGGGAGTTTAACGAAAGCAAGGGGGGTTCAATCAAAACAATAGGGTTTCAACCAAAGAAGGGGGGCTTCACTGAAAATAAGGGTTTTTTCACCAAAAAAAACCCTAAGGGTTCAAAAAAACCAAGAGGGTTTCCACCAAAATGAGGGGTTTCACCCAGAATGGGAATGGTCCCCAGGCCTCAGCTTCCTATTCTAGGGGGAAAGTGGCAGCCGGCCCTGGGCGATGCCACATAGGCAGCACACTGCAATCCAGAGCTCCGGAGATCTCTGATCTGCTGGGAATCTGGGGATGAAAACCATCTCCCTGGGGCTTCCCAGTGATGGAAAGGAATCTCATGGGGGAACAAAACTCAGAACTGGAAGAAGGACCCAGGGAGGGAGCAGGAGCCACGGGAGATCTGCAATGGTGTAACCACTGCGGGATCCTTTGGGAGAAGCAAAGGGGAGGAAACTCAGCACAGCTTCCTGAGGTGGACATTGATAGCAGAAGGACTGCTTTGCTCTTTCATTGAACGTTCTGACCTTTTTTCTCCAGCACGTGACTTTTATGAAATGACTGTTAGTGACCGAAGGTTGAAAAGCAAGGAGCAAGCAAACACGAAGAGCACTGCCCAATTTTTTTTCCCAAGTTCTGCAGTGATTTTAAGCCAACAAGTTTTGGGGAAAAAAGAAAAAAAGCATCTCAGCAAAACTCAGTTGTTTGCAAAATCTGGAAGAACTTCTTCACTTCCCATTCCTCCACGGTGGTGATTTGCTTTTCTTGGGCAGCCAAATCTTGCAAATCAAGCTCTGTGAGGCCACATCTCCTCTTTGCGCTCCTCCGGGAGTCACTGCCCTGACCGCAGGGCATCGTTAGGCTGGGGAATATCTTAGTGAACAAATAAACAGAGAGTGGGGTAATTGCTGGTGTCCGATTCCCAGTTTGCACCATTGCAGTTGTGCCCCAGCACGATGTCTGCCACGGGGTCCCAAGGGTTCCTCCAATGAGGTCCTATCAGTCTTCTTCTTCCCTTTGGGGCAGAAGACCACCAGGGCTGGCCACGTGAGGATGCAGATGATACCTTACAGTCATCTCAGCTGGGGCAGGGAGATAGGATGTGAAACAGGGCCTCTGTGTCATCCTTCTGTGCCATTTAGTTGTTTCAGACCGTGACTTGGGACCAGTGGGATAAACTGGCCTGGGTCAGATGGGCATCGTGACAATGAATCCTCTAGATTTATTGATCCAGGAGCTCAGGAAGCCCCATTATTTTAATATATATGAAATTTGGCTGAGAGGCAACCTTCCTGCAGCCGAAGGCCATCCTCAAAAGTGACCCCATCAGCCCGTGGAACCACAGCTCCTCCTGCACTGAGCATCTCCACCATCCACAATGGAGTTGGAATCGCAGAACCATAGAATCATTAGGCTCACGGAGCCACAGAATCAGTAAGGTTGGAAAAGACCTCCGAGGTCATCAAGTCCAACCCCAACTCATCCCCACTGTGCCCACTTATAGAGTCATTAAGGCCAGGGAAGATTACTAAGATCATCAAGTCCAACTTTTAACCCATCAGCTGGGGAAAAGATCCCTGGGATATGAGGTGGGTCCGCAAGCACGAGCCCCTCGTGCCTGACAGCTGCACAGACCTCCCAGAAGCAACCCCAAAGGCAGCTGCTCAGCATCTCCTCCTCATTAAGGGCTAAGCCACACTGACATCCCCCCCCTTATAAATTGGCAGTGTGCTAACGACTCGAAAACTCCAACTGAGTGCTTGCGTAGGCTGAGGAAGGAAGGGAGAGGCTTTTTAATGCAATTTACGTAAACATTTGATGCCTCCCAAATGAGTCCTCTGCAGGAAACACCTCGAAGGAGGCAGGACTTGAAGGCAAACACTCTCCTGGAAGCTGAGAGAGAGGCAGAGCAAGATGGGTTCCCATCAGGGACCTGAGCGCAGAGCTGGGCCACCACCGAGTCCAGCACTGTGTCTGCAGCGGAGGTCAGACTGCAGATAGGACATCTGTCCAGAGCAAAGGGGAATTGCAGAATCATAGAATCACAAGGTTGGAAAGGATCTGTAAGATCATCCGGTCCAACCATCCTCCCATCACCATTACTACCACAAGCTACTAAAGTGTATCTCATAGGGAACATCTCTGCTAGAGGGCTGGAACTGGACGATGGCTTGGGGCTGGATGATCTCTATGCTTCCTTCCAATATAAGCCGTTCTAGGATTTCTGCCTCTCAAGGAGTTCTTCTCCTGGTCTGTACTCATATCTGGGATTGCTCCTACCCAACAGCATTTGTTGAACCCTCCAGGTTCGTGATTGCCCATTTTTTGAGCACGTCCATGCCTCTCTGGATGGCATCTCTTCCTTCTTTGTGTCAACTTTACAACTCAGCTCTGTGACATCTTCAAACTGCTGAGGGTTTGATCCCACCATCAGCATCACTGATAAAGATGTCGAAGTGCACCATTCCCAAAACAGACCCCTGGGGGACATCACTTGGCACCGCCTCCACTCGGACACAGAGCCACTGACCACCACCCTCTCCAACCACTGTGAGCATGCAACCAATTCCTTCTCCATCCAATAGTCCACTCTTCAAACCCGTACCTCTCCAATTTAGTGACAATGATGTGGTGCAGGACTATGCCAAAGGCCTCGCACAAGTCCAGGCAGACAACACCAGTTGCCCTTCCTTTGTCCACCAGTGCCATCCCTCCGTCATAGAAGACCACCAGATGATCAAGCACCAGATTGTCCTCCCTACCACAGGAGGAGCAGGGAGCAAAATTCTCAGCAGTGCTTCTCCCTGCAATCATGGGCTCTTGGAGAAACTCAGTATTTTTTCTTCATATTTCTGAAAGACACCACAGGAACTTTGCAGTTTCTTCTCTACGAAGCCTTGCATCGTGCTGGCACAGTATGAGTGCTCCTGAGTGCTCACAGGGGGATACAGAACTGCAGCCAAGTCTAGACAGGCAGCAAAATGTAGGACTGGGAGCTGAACACCAGTAACTTCCCTTTCAATGCTTTGGGAATAGAAAGAAGACTCTTACAAAGCTTCTGTTATGTTTGCCAGTTTAATTGCAGCCCGTTGCATGGAACTGGGTGTAAAGCTCCAGCACTGATCTGGCAGTGACTGGCAACAGAGGTGTGGGGCAAGGACAGCTCTGTTCTGCTTTTCAAGCAAGGCACAGCGCAGAAGACATCAAGGGCTGAATCCAGGGTCAGGTGCACCATGGAAAAATGGCAGTCCATGCATTCAGGTCTTTGCCAGGGTGTTGGAGCCACAATGGGCTTCAGTGGAAGCATCAGCAGGCCTGTCTTTATCCATCCTGATGCTATCTATATTGACATCATCTATCTTGACATTATCTATTCCAGTGTTAGCTGTCCAAAAGTGATCCATCCTGATGCACTGTGGGAATTACTGTCAGATATCTTTATGATTTCATGGCCCATCAGCCCACGGAACGTTCCCTAGGAGGGAACAGCTTGAGTTATGCTTCTCTGTTCCCTTTGGACACACAGCAATTAACTTTCACACCCCCATATATTCATGCTGATAAAAACTGCACTCCTCAGTCACTTCGAATGCACAAATTGCACTGTGCAATCGTTTGGTGTTCCTGGGAGAACTGTTCAAGCACTGGTCTTGAAGTTATCTTCTGTAAGGAAGTCATCTGCTCATTTAGAAACTGGACGGGGTGACAGAACTTCTTGAAAACCCAAAAATAAATATAGAACAAGGTTTGGGGGAAGCATCATGTGCTGAGCTGTGTAGCTGGAGACAGGCAAGCCCAGCTGTGCCATAGGGGTGAGAAGAAGCCCTTTGACCGTTCAGTGTGGAACACAGAGCTGGAAGAGGTGTTGCTCTCCTTTGTCCTGCCTGGCCGTGGCTTTGGTGAGGTTGGTCCAGCAAACATGAAGGATCAGTCAGAGCTTCTTATGCACTGGCACAGGTTGCCCAAGGAGGCTGTGGATGCCCCATCCCTGCAGGCATTCAAGGCCAGGCTGGATGTGGCTCTGGGCAGCCTGGGCTGCTGCTTGGCGACCTGCACACAGCAGGGCTTGGAGCTGGATGAGCACTGAGCTCCTTTGCAACCCAGGCCACTCTATCATTCTGTGATTCTTCCCTTCTCATCTTTCCATGAGCAGAAATCCTGCTCTATGATACCATGAGGAATACTCTATGAGGAACATGGGTACCTCCTCACCCCATTTCCACCCAAATCCCTCCCTTTTAGCCCTTCTTGGGGTGGGCTCCAGACACCTCCCAGTATCATTCCAGCACATACCACCACTTTGAGAGCTGCCTATCTCCAACCTGAAGCTCCCCCAGCTCCTCCTGAGCACCTGCCCTCGTGGACGTCTCACTCAGCAAAACGGATGTTGGTTCTCCGTGCTGACTTTGCACACCAGTGGCTTTCATCACTGGAGTTTCGAACCGCTTTAAAATATCTTTGCAAGGAAAAATCGATGCGGTTTTATATTTAAAGATGTTCATGATGGAGTGTGAAAAAATAGAACTGCAGTGACTGGAAAGAGGGTGGGGAAAAAAGCCCAGGACTGCATGGCACCAGTCCTGTGCATCCAGCGCATGCATTTCTGGTGACCCACTGCCTACGTGACTCTGAGATCATTTTGTGACCTGCAGGGGATGACAAGGTTAAACTCACCCACATTTATTAAAAAAAAAAAAACACCCACAAGCCTAAGCAAATGTTCCTTGCTAAAATAATAAAGAAATCTTATACCTTGAACACTGGGGTATTTTTCCCTTAAGCCTGGTGAGACTCTGATATTGACTCCCAGCTACACTGCTGGTAGCATTAAATTATCTTTAACTGAGGACACATGGTGGCCCTGAGTCTGACAGGACATTGCATTTCTGTAGGACTCTGAAGGAGCAAGCTTTATATGACTGCCCTCACCACGTCACCACCAACCCTGCTAAGTCAATGGAAGCATCTCGCATCCTGTGCTCCGTTTATTCACCCGAGAGCCTCAGCGTTGGTCCTCTCCCTTTCTTTAAAAGATAACACTGGGACAGATGATGTCAGGATAGAGAACATCCAACTTCTCTTTGTTCAAAGAGCATCTTGAAGGCTGATCCTCACAAGCTCAATGACACGCTCCATTGAGCGGAGAAATTGCCGCCCAGCTGCTGCTTGGCTTTGGTTGTCTGCCTCTGTGGGCACGTGGGAAAAGAGCACGAGACTTCCAAGCTTTGTAGAACAAAAGATGGAAATATGAGCTGATGCCTGCCGAGCACTCGATTTCTTCCTGCAAGGCAGCAGTTGGTGCTGATTTGCAATGTTTTCTGCCCAATTTGCAGACGTTCTTTATCTCGGTGTTTATGCCTTTTTCCCTTCTGAACGTTGCTGCACTGTGCATCGCCTTCTCCAATAGAATTTTCACCGGTGGTCCCTTGTGGCCCCCACATTTATTCCTCTCTTTGAAAGGGAACCTTCCACCTGGCTTTCCCATGGCTCAGCTCCAGGACGGAGCAAACCACTCACAGACACCGACTTCTGGAGATCCTCAGAGGGGTTTGACACGGCCCGTGTGGCTGGCTGCCTGCACTGGGCCCAGCAGAGCTTCTGGGGTGATGTGGAGGAACCTCCCTGTGTGCCCCGGAACATGGGACAGCCCAAATACCCAGCACAGAGCTACCTGAATCCACACGGGGCCAATGCAGGGTGGGTGGCCTGAGTCATTGCTTGGGAATAAATGCACACAGCAGCAGGGTTTACACCAGCTAGATGCCTACATTTCTGTAGGAATAAGCAGCAATCCTATCAATGCCTTCTGCAGGAAGCTAAGCTTCTCCAGGCCAGCAAAACCAAAGGGGTTACGGAAAGCAGGATGCATTTACCTTGATGCTGAGAAATGGGTTCCTGCTGAGTGCTTTCCGGGACCGATCCGGGCAGCTGCTCTTTGTAGCAGTGCTTGTCATTCTGTCAGGTCTGCTTTGTCCTCCTGCCAAAATAAATCATGTGGCACAAAGCTAAGTGCTCCGTAGGAATCTGCCTTGCTCAGCACAGCAAAATCCTGTCATGCTTTGCAAATGCCCATGGAACCGGCGCACGGTCATCATCATATTAATTGTTCTCAGTTTTAATTTCTGTTAGATTTTCATTTCTGCAACAAGCAGCATGCAAAACACGAGCACACTCATCCCCAGGGCGCATGAGAGGTTCAGAATTATCAGTTATTTCACTCCAATGCAACAAAGTACCAACTGCTTGAGGAAGGAGAGCTGGGGCCTGGATCCTGTTATTCCTGAATCCCAGTTGTACCAAAATGTAGAATTACAGGAGCACAGAATGGTTGGGTTGGAAGGGACCTTAAGGATCATAGAGTCATGGGATGAGTCATGTTGGGTTGGGTTGGAGAGTCCCTTAAGAATCATAGAACCATAGAGTGTGTTGGGTAGTGTCGGGTTGGAAGGATTGGGTTGGAAGGGTCCTTAAGAATCGTAGAACCATAGAATGTGTTGGGTTGTGTTGGGTTGGGTTGGAAGGATTGGGTTAGAAATGTCCTTAAGAATCATAGAACCACAAAATGTATTCGTGGGGTTGGGCTGGGTTGGGTTGGGTTGAAAGGTGTGGGTTGGAAGGGTTCTTAAGCATCACAGAGCCACAGAATCTGTTGTGTTGGAAGGAAAGTCAAAGACCGTAAAACCATTGAATGGTTGGGTTGAAAGGGACTTTAAATATCAAAGAACCATAGAATGAGTTGGGTAATGTTGGTTTAGGTTGGGTTGGAAGGGACTATGAAGACCACAGAGTCATGGAATGGGTTGGGTTGGAAAAGTTCACCAAGACCATCCAGTCCCACCATCAACCCACCGCCACCATGCCCACTCCTACAATCATAGATGCACTGAGACCAGAAAACACCTTGAAGATCCCCAAGTCCAACCCCAACTCATCCCACCATGCCCACTACCCATGTCCTTCAGTGCCACATCTACACGCTGTGCCTGGGCCAAACTCCACGACGTAGAATTTTTCCAGCCTCAGGTCACACCAGGGAGGTCTGGATTGGATCTGAGGAAGAATTTCCTCATGGAGAGGGTGGTCAGGGGATGCTCAGGGCAGAGGTGGAGGCCCCATCCCTGGAGGGTTCAAAGGACATACGGATGTGACACTGGGGGACAAGGTTTGGTGATGGGGCTGCACCTCACCTGGAAGCATCGCCTGCTTCCTGGCTTCACAGCCATCTCAACTGAACTGCAAAAAGAAACAGAAATCCATGGGAACCCCTCCCTACACCTCTGACCTCCTTCCCCGCTCATCCATCTCTTCCCTCTCTCTGCAGTGAGTGATGGGTTTGGGTTTTTAGCAGGGTTGGCTATTCAGTGCCCAGACTTCCTGAGCAGGAAGTTCCTGCATTGTTTGCAGGCCTGCTAAACCCATTAGGCTGCAGCTAATTGTTCAGCACACCCTCATAGATATTTCCATCTTGGTGCCCTCAGGCTCCACAGCAAATGGGGCAAAGGGCTTTGCGTCATTATTTTCTGTAGTTCTCTTTCCTCCAAGACGAGAAGCGAAGGAGTGGGTATGGTAACCTCCAACAGGTTAACAAACACACGGGTTGAAGTAAATTCAGGAAGGAGCTGGCTTAATTGTGGTGTTTATAAGCCCTTAAGTGAATTGCATGGGAGAAGTAAATCCCAGCCTGCTCACTTACCGGCTCCTTGGCTTCCTCTGCAAAAAGCAATCGCTGCCCTCAGCCCCATTTGCAGAGACAAGATATTGCTACAACAGGATCAATAGAGTAAATTTGATCATAAATTAAAGCTTCCACCAAAAGCTCCCCCTGAACCTCTGGAGAGCACAGGCAGCACAGGAGCAGAAGCACCCGCCCGGCTGCAGAGCACAGCATCCCGTATTGCCTGCCTGATGAATTATTGACAGCCATAAAGCATTTGGCTGCTGGAGCCGCACCACCAAAGGGGCTTTCTCATGGAGCTGCAAAAAGCAAAGCCTGGAAAAGCAAAGCAAAGCAAATTGCTCTGGAGGAGCAATTGGGTGGATGCACGGCCAAGCCTGGCTCCATCCCGCCACTCACACCTCCTGCCAGGTGTCCTGTGGGCACTGCTGTATTCCCTTGGTCTGACTCCTCCCGAGACCCCAAATGCTGCAGGGTTACAGAGAAAAATCGACTGCGTTTAGGTGCTGCTCACCCACAGGTAACATTTGAGAATAAAACAATTAGAGAAGCAGCACTTTGATCCAGCACTGAGGGCAATGAGCAGTTCAGGGGATAAGACCTCATTAACCATCCCGCCTTGCAGCGGGGACGGCAAACCCAGGAGACAAACCATCATCAGGGTGAGGAGAGAGGAAAGCAAAGGGGGCCAAAAGCAGAGGGGTTTGGCTGCCTCTTGCCCCTGTGGGGGCTCTTGCAGCTGCAGGGAATGAGAGAGCACCAGCACTTTGCAAGGCGTGTTGCAAGCACTGCCCCCAAAGCAAACAGCTCCTGGTGGCGCTGGCAGATGCTGTGCATGCAGAGCTGTTTACAAACACGTGACCTCAATTAATAACCCGGGAGCAATTAGGTTCTGTTTGCGCAACCCGACACGTTGATGCAGTGAGCTGAACAAGTGCTGCTGGCAGTGCTGCCAGAGAGAGCAGTGCTGCAGCTGCTCCTGTGCTGCCACGTGCATCCCAACCCCAATGCACCCCAGAGCTGCTGCAACCCAGAGAGGTGTTTCCTGCACCCAGTGCTGCTCCGTTGGAGCTCAGTGTTTCACCTTTCCTCCCCCCGTATGACAGGAACACAGCAGTGCATTTACTTAGGGAGGGAAAGGGCAGGTCTGAGGCTGCGCATCCTCCAGATGACACTGCTCCAGCTGCAAGCAAAGGATTTGTCCTCAGAGTCTTATTTTCTCCAAACTGATGGCCTGGGTCACTGCATCCTTTGGTAGGGCAGAGCCTGGGGATGCTGGGGGTGGGGGATTGCGATGCTGAGCCTGGATCTGACACTTCCACACCAACAGATGCCATAAGATATGGCCATTCCTGACCTCCCTGCCCCCTAACACCACTGCTGTGGACATAACCCCATTGCAAAATCTTTACTGAACAGCACGGCTCCTGCTAGCTGAACAAGGGAAAGCACACACTGGGCTCAGCTTTGGAAAATAACAGTGAATGTGATACTGCAAAGCAAATCCCCACGGGGGATTCATCTGTTATTCATCTCCTTTCTGTGGGATTTCTCAATAATTTGCACTCTGCAGTGGTAAAGTGGGAACAGTGTCTGTGTGTGTTGATGAGCCCCTGTGTTAATTGGGAAACTGGCTGAGAAGATGATCTGTAGTACAGCAGAAGGAACAGAATCCTAGGCTCGTAGAGTCATCATAGTTGCAAAAGGCCTCCGATATCACCAGGTCCAATGGTCTACCCATTTCCATCGTGCCCCAGTCATAGAATCACATGATCATGGAATCACTGACCTCCAAGAGTCCCAAACCTGACCCCAACCCTCCCCACCATGCCCCCCGACCACTCAGTGCCACATCTCCATGATTCTGGATCTCCTCAGGGATGCGACTCCATCAATCCCTGGGCAGCTTGTGCCAGTGCCAATAGATGGTAGCACCCCGAAGCTGCTTCCATCTTGCACCATTGGGCAAAAAGAATGGGACCAGCCCAGCTCAGTGACTCTTTGAAATGGGAGGTGTCAGGAAAATGGCACAGCGGAAGGCAAAAAAGAAAGCGAAAATGGGATCAGCCCAGCTCAGCAACACTTCAAACTGGGGTGACACAAGGCAGGGTACCCAGAAGCAAAGTAAAAGGAAATTTGCTACTGAGAAGTGCAAAATTCAGAAGAAGAAAGAGAAAAATGCTGTTGAAGCCTATGAGATGGGACAACGGGTGGTGAGGGAACCCCACCAACCCCAGCTCCTCTGCCCTGGGGTTGGGCTTATTGCACAGGAGGGAGAACAGAGACGGAGCACAGAGGCAACCAGAGCAATAGTGGAGATGTCCCACTGGAAAGCTTTATCTCACAGCAGCCCTGAAGTCCTCACTGCAGCAATGCCACCTCAAAATATGGCAGATCTGTCCACCCATTCACCTCCACTGTGGATGTTGAACCATGTTTGCAGTCAGCAAAGATGATGATTTGCAGCAGCAAATCAGAAAACAAGATTATTCAACGTGCTGCCTAAAACCTTATGGGAAACAACTCAACGTGCAGAGACGCAGCCCTGTGTGGCTGATCCCTTGTGTGTCCTTGAGCTGAACTGCACTCCTGCTCAGGAAACTGCCAGCACAACGATTGCAGAATTCACACAGCTGCAAGGGCACGAGCTGCAGGGAGACTGAGCAAGGGATTGCTTTGCACAGAGCAGGTCCTGAGATGGGAAGCAGCAAGAGCATGGGGGCTGCAGAGGTCCTGATCCAATCCTTGTGTGTTCTAGCCCAAACCTGGTGGGTCCTGTCCCAATCTGATGGGTTCTGACCCAACTCTGATGGGTCCTGACCCAAATCTGATGATTTCTGACCCAACTTAATGGGTCCTGACCCAACTCTGATGAGTCCTGACCCAAATCTGATGGTTTCTGACCCAACTCTGATGGGTCCTGACCCAACCTAATGGGTTCTGACCCAAATCTGATGTGTCGTGACCCAACCCGATGGGTCCTGACCCAATCTGATGGGTTCTGACCCAACTCTGATGGGTCCTGACCCAAATCTGATGGGTTCTGACCCAACTTAATGGGTCCTGACCCAATTCTGATGGGTTCTGACTCAATCTGATGAATTCTGACCCAACTCTGATGGTTTCTGACCCAACCTGATGGCTGCAGTGCCTTTGGAAGTGACCCCTGTGAGGGATGGCTGTGATTGCCCAATTCCCAGCCTCACTGCTGATGTCTTTTCTGAGATGGGAGATCCCATCTCTCCCTGCTCCTTCTGCAGCCTCTGCATTTCCTTCCCTTTGCTCTCCAGTGCTTTCTCCTCTTGTGGGCCAGTCCACCTTGGCCCACATAGCTCCACCTCTCCTGCTCCTGAGGATGGTGGTGGTGGTAACCACAACCTCAAAGTCACATCAGGACAGTCCCTGTGCTGAACAGACATGACGGAGTGGCATCCATCCTCAGAAATCGACCCTCCAAATGGTTCCCATTTTCCATGGATGAGATCGCAGAGAGTCGCAGCTCTATGGAAGACTGCAGTAAGAGCTGCTCAGGGTTAAGCAATGCCAAAGGGATGGATCAGAGGGAAGGTGTGAGGAAATGCTGCTACAAAGAACAGGGAACTGAAAGAGGAGCTGAGGAGAAGTGCAAAATGTCCCCAGCCAGCAAAAGAGATGCTGAGTGGAGGTGGTTATAAATACCAGGAGGAAACACAGCGGATAGAAAAGATGGTGTCCCTAAGGGGCAACGATGGGACAAGGAGCCAGAGAGGCTGATGACAAAGGGCAGCCACAGCTCTGTGCAGCAATGGGTGCTGGAGCCAGACTGGGGGAAAAAAACCAAGTATTTTGGGCACGACCTGTTACCCAGGCTGGCAGGATTGCTAGTGCTAGATCAGCCAACGTCAGTGGTGGGCTTTGCAATGAGTCCAGTCTGTGTTCTTTGGCCCAGACATTAGAATCACAGAATTAAGGTTGGAAAAGGCCTTGAAGATTCCCAAGTCCCACCCCAACCCATCCCCACCATGCCCACTCCTACAATCGTAGACTCATTAAGGTTGGAAAAGGCCTTGAAGATCCCCAAGTCCAACCCCAACCCATCCCCACCATGCCCACCGACCCCACTAGGGGAGGTTTGGATTGGATCTTAGGAAGAATTTCATCACAGAGAAGGCAGCCAAGCAGTGGATGAGCAGCCTGGGAAGGTGATGGAGCACCCATCCCTGGAGGATTTAAGAGCTGTGTGGATGTGGCACCGAGGGACAAGGCTTGGTGACAGGCTGATGGTTGGATTTGGCCACCTCAAAGGCCTTTTCCAACCTAGAACCACATCCCCGTCTGGCTGCTTCCAGTGCTCAGCAATTTTTCAACCCAAACCCGTCTCCCTTTGGGTCATTTGTGACTGTGGACCACCACACACGGGGCAGTGCTGCTTCTGGCAACCCACTGCAGCACGGGGAGGTCGTTCATGCCACCACTCAGCACCCATCTTCCGCTGTTGGATGGATGCAGAAAGCCTTCATCCTCAGAGGTGTTGCTTCTTTCCTTTTTGCTGCTGGGTTTTTGAACTCCCTTGGGAAGAAGGTGTGGGAGCATCTCCTGCACAATTCAGATGCATCAGCAAAGCCCAGTGAAGGAGGAGATGCTTTTTATCTGGAAGCCCCCAGCTGGAGCTGCATCCCAAAGCAACCCCATCCTGATTTCTTCTGGAGGATTGCAGCACTCAGATCAGGTTTCCAGCCTGCAATTCCCTCTGCTGCTCACTGCTCTGCAGCATCATAACACTGCTGTCTCCTTTTCTGTCTCAAAACTAACATTCTGAGGTCCTGAGATGGGTCACGATCCTCCCCAGCCATGATCTCCAGGCGACATTTAGCAATCAGGCTCCAACCGTGCTGCGCATGAAGGTGGAAGGGCAAGAGAAAACAGAGAAGTGGAAAGCAAGGAGAGCAGGTGGCACCCCAACCAAATCACACCGGTTTAGGATAGATGCATTTTTGGGGATGGCAAAGCAGATGGGAGCCACAATCAGGCTCAACCCATGGGCACAGAGGGGGGAAAAATGTCCCTTCTGATGCTTTTCACCTCTGTGACGTCTCCCCTCTGAGCACCGTAGGTTGGTGCAGAGCAGAGGGTGAAAGGACTGTAGTCATGAAATTTCTGTAGATATCTGACAATATTAAAATAAAAGCCTGTTGGAACAAATCAATACAGCTCGTCCTGGTGGTGAGAAATCATCTCCTGATGGGAACTCAGATAAAGGATGGCTCCATCACCTGCTGGAGCTGCACCAAGGGATGCTGCAGGGGCTTATCACACCCAGCTATGGGATGCCACATAGATGTGGATGCTGACAGGCCCTTGGAGAAGCTCAGCTCTGCCCTGTTTGCATTGCTGGGCCGCCTTCCTGCTGCCTGCTGCTCACACCCAGCCTTGAGCAGCTCTCCTGGGGCTGATTTGCTGCCATTTCCCATTGTACTGTGAATCTGGAGCACTGAGAGCAGCAGTGCATGGCCAGGCTTGGGCACAAAGCTGTGGGACCTGAGAGCATCCTGGTCTACAGATCCCACCCAGGAGTCCCACTCCACACATCTCACCCATTTCCCAGCTCCACGTACCCCCAGAAAGGCCACCAAACCAACCAGCAATGCCCCCAACGAAACTTCCACCCTGGGGACCTCCATGCCTTGGGTTGTGTCACTGGGTCACCCAACATGGAAACCCCTGGCACGCTGCTCCGCTGCAGGAAATGGGAAGCAGTGGGGTTTTGTTTGGGATTTGATGGCTGGAGAAAGCCCACAGCGCTGCTGCAAATGGATCTGTGCAGCTGAAAGCTGCCCTGGCCATACCCAGGTGGGAAAGAGCAAGGAGGGATGTGCCCTTCCAGCACCCGTGCGCCTTGCAGAGAGCACCATGTGCCCCTTGAGCAAAGAGAAACTCCATAAAACAGAGAAATAAGAGGTTGTATAACTCCTATAAACGGGCAGAGAGAAGGGTGTGAGCCATCCAGAACAGCTCTGTCCCCGGGGTGGGACCTTGCTCCTCTGGGTGTCCCCATGCCCACCAGGAAGCTGTGGCAGTGCAGAGGAGCCCACACAGAGCCTGCCACCAGCAGTATCTGCCCTAGTTTGCAGGGAGGACAGTTCTGGCTTGCTCCAATGCTTTGCAGGAGTGGATACAACACTTCCACCATGTGCACAGCTAAGGAGATGCGTGCTTCACCCCAAAGCAGTTCAGCAAAGCCAAATCCAGCAGGGACCCAACGCCACCCACACTATGCCTGCAGGCAGAGCACCGAAGGCTCCCCACGACCAGCAGCAATGCAGCTCTGTGCAACCACCACATCACTGCATCCCCGCAGAGCTGCCCCCTCACGTCACTTTGCCCCCCACCTCCCCACTCCTGAGCACAAATACCATCAGCAACCATTGCGTGTTGGTGCACAGAGGGGTTCCTCCCTGCAGCAAAGGACTGGGATCCCCAAGTGCCACCACCCCACAGGGAGCCATCGTCCCCAAAGCCACCGAGACGGGGGGGTGAGGGGAGGCATTCCCATAAGCAAAGGAGCAAAACTGGGATAGAAAGGAGCCCAGCAGCTTTGAGGTGCAGGAAACCTTGCTGCAAGAAGTGGAGCTGCTTTGTTGGAAAGAACGGATTGAAATAAGCAAGCAGAATGGAGAGGAAGCAACAAATGCATGTGCAGAAAGCCCCCCTGCAGAACAGGACCCTCAGCAATCACTGCCTTTTGCTTCTATTTGATTTCAGTATTTTCTGGCTGCTGGAAATATCCAGCCATGGAACCAAGCAGTGCAAAAGAAGGCAGTGAGCAAAGCAGCATCAGACACTCACAGTTGTAGGATTCACCACGTCCCCGTCCCGGGAGCAAAACTTTTCCTTTGGCAGAGCCTCCAGAGCCATTCAGTGCTTTTACTTTCCCAGCCCAGAGGTGGGGCTTCAGCTCAGTGCAATGTTAACCCCAACTTTTGCAATCGTCCCTTTTGATGGGAGTTTATTTTCCTTCCTGAGCTGCAATCCAGAAAAAAACCCAACCCAAATATCAGAGTTCTGCCCCTGTGTTTTGCTGAGGGGGGCTGTGCAAGCTGTGTGCACGGTGCTGGTGCTTGCTGGGCTTTGCTTTTTCCCCTTTCTCCATTCCCCTTTGCACAAGGTTCCATCTCTCCTAACATTTATTAGGAATATTTTTCTGTGCTTCACGCTGCAAAGGGGGTTTCTCCCTTTGGATCCCACTGGGTTGGGATGGTGGTAGGTGGGCCCAGGGGATCTTTCCTCCTTGCTTAAATCTGGAGGACGGCCCAGCTGAACAGTGAATATCAAAAGATTTACTGCTTTGCTTGAACGACCCAGAGAGGTGATCCTGTTGGTGCTGCATGCCACAAAACACCACCAGTGGGTGTTGTGCACCATCATCCTGTATGCACTTTTGCGTGTGCACCTCTCAGCCTTCCTAAAAGTCATCTGCGTGCAGCTGGAGCTGGGATTGCTGCACTGGTGCGCTCCAAGTAAATCCCAGCCAACAAATTCCCAGCCCCTTCCTGGGCTCCCAGCAGCATCAGAGCTCTGCAGGATGCAGCCATCCCTTTTCCTGCTGCTGCTCAGCCAAAATAGGGAACCCGTTCTCTTCCCATCCCCAAAACCAAGAGATGGAAAGCCCAAAGGGGACGCTTCCCACAGCAGACGTGCAGCGCAGCTTTCCTCCTGGGATCTGATTGGCCATGGAAAATGGGGAGCAATGGACGCTGGATGTACTCGAAGCAGGCAGTATCTGCCCATTAAGCCCATTAAGCAGTAATTAAATGCTCAGCAAGGGACAGGCAAATCTTTGCCCAAGCGACCCTGAGCCACCCTCCAGGCGGGGCTGCACCACTCAGATAATGCACAGAGGAGAAAATGAACTCCATCTGCTTCCGCAGGCTCGAAGCCCCCCAGGGCCCATACAGCACGATGGTTTGGGGGTTCAATGTGGGGCTTTGGGGTCCACAGGGTAGGCAACGGCCCAGCATAGCAACGAGACGCATCCAAATCTGCAGGGAGTCCTCGAGCCCATCGGTCAGCCCCATCGGGCAGCTTGCACGAAGGAAGAGCACCATCTATTGGCTCCGATTCCCCATTGCTCACTGCAGCTGCTCGCGTCGTGTGTTCTGTCCCCACTGCAACGCCAGCACAGGATGCAAGGAGGCGTCAGCATCTGCAGCACAGATGTCGGCCTGAGGAAGACTGTTAAGCAAAACAGACCTGGCTGGCCTAAAAGGGTCAAACAGGGAACACGCGGCCCCTCCTGAAAGGGAAGGACTGCCATGTGAGACTGGCAAGCATAAGTTACAGCTTCTTCGTTCCGTGACCAAGAGCAGAACATGTTCTGTGCAGAGAACACCTTTTGATCACTGTACCATAATCCACAAAGAGCTCATGAAGTAATGATGTATTGCTGTCAGCTGCATGAATGTTATCTGATTTAAGTATTGTATACTCCTGTAGCTAAAAGATATAAAA